AAAAAAGACTGCTAGCACTGCACAACCGTTCACGGGCCACCCCGTATTAGGCACTGGATATTGACCTCCAATTAAGGTAGTGCTGGTGATATATTTCTCTTGTGCGTTGTTGAACAATGAAAATGAGCAGAGTGCATGTTCTACTCAGTTTAGAGTGTACTGAGGGTCTCTGCGTTTCATAAGAGTATTGTGTCTCTCACCAATTAGCAGTGATTGGCCTGTTACAGTAAGAAACGCCAGTCTATCACTGCGTGCTTAGCGCCTCGTCCCCAGGTTGATCTCCTGCGCCACGCCGCGATGAGAGCCTGCGCCAACGGCGCCGCCTGTGTAAGCGTTAACGCCCGCTGCTTCACACTTATGCATGGTTCCCTTTAGTGGGAGAGAGTAATTTTTCTTCCACCATCAGTTCGTCTATCGGCGCAGATCCCAGACTGCGCAGCTCGTAAGCAGGAGCCGTACATTAGGAATAAGCCCTGCATACCTGACCAAATGCATCGCGTACCACGAGATTTTAAATATTTATTCCCCATCTGCAGCAGTTAACCTAAACAGCACTGCGCGCGCAATCAAAGTCACGCCACTTCATTCTATCTGTAGAACTCTGTGACAGCTAAGACATCATGTGCAAAGCTGGCACGTGGCTAAGTTACTCAAGGACTCATGCAAATTCAACTTGCGATCAACCAGCTATAGTTCCCAAAGTGAGCAATTAAAGCAATATAACAGCTATTATCACATCAGGTATTGCCTCTCACTCACATATTAGCCTGACAAACGTGAGCAGCTTTAATACACCGACAGGTGGATACGATGAATAAGGCATGTATCCTTTGATTGCTGCACATCATTTATTCATGGGCTTTACCGCAATGCTTTTGAAATGCAGTGAAGTTTGACCTTATTTTAGTGATTGTTCCTTTGTCTGTTTGAAAAGGACGCGCCAAGATGCATATTTGACCTGAGCAGTCACAAATGCTTATATTTGTTTGATGCACAAGTGGCCTGTGCATGCGTTCATTTCGTATCATGTTCGTATCATGTAATGCTCTTCTGCTCACGCTGGCTTTACCGCAGTGCTTTTGCGATGCAGTGAAGCTTGATCATATTTTAGTATTTGTCCTTTTGTCTGCCTGAAACGGACGTGTCAAGATGCATATTTGGCTTGAGCAGTCGCAAATTCTTATATTTGTCTGATGCACAAGTGGCCTGTGCATGTGTTCATTTCGTATCATGTAATGCTCTTCTGCTCACGTTGGCTTTACCACAGTGCTTTCTCGATGCAGTGAAGCTTAATCATCTTTTTGTCTCCCTGAAACGGACATGCCAAGATGCATATTTGGCCTGAGCAGTCGCAAATGCTTATATTTGTTTGATGCGCAAGTGGCCTGTGCATGCATTCATTTCGTATTATGTAATGCTCTTCTGCTCACGCTGGCTTTACCGCAGTGCTTTCGCGATGCAGTGAAGCTTAATCATCTTTTTGTCTCCCTGAAACGGACGTGCCAAGATGCATATTTGGCCTGAGCAGACGCAAATGATTATATTTGTTTGATGCGCAAGTGGCCTGTGCATGCATTCATTTCGTATCATGTAATGCTCTTTTGCTCACGCTAGCTTTACCGCAGTGCTTTCGCGATGCAGTGAAGCTTAATCATCTATTTGTCTCCCTGAAGCGGACGTGCCAAGATGTATAATTAGCATGAGCAGTCGCAAATGCTTATATTTGTTTGATGCACAAGTGGCCTGTGCATGCATTCATTTCATATCATGTAATGCTCTTCTGCCAACGTTGGCTTTACCGCAGTGCTTTCACAAGGCAGTGAAGCTTGACCATACTTGCTTTTATGTGTATTGCGACTCAAAGTATGCGACTCAAAGTTTTATGAGTATTGCGACTTTTATGTGTATTGCGATCAAATTTTTGTAATAGCTCAACTGTTGACGCTAGAAGTGATGCATTCTATGTGAAAGTTTGATACGCAACTTCGGAGATTCATGTTTTTATAAAGTTTTCACAATATATCAGTAAGGTAGAGTTGGAAACTATGCATTCTTGGAAAATGGCCACGAACACGATGGAGACAGGAGATGAGAAAGACTCAGTACTTCGCCTTTGTCTTGTGCCTCCATCGTTTTCACGTTCATTTTCAAAGTATCTATCAAAATGCTGATAACGCTGTTTCACTGCCAGCAACCTTTGGTGTGCAAGAAAGGGAGCTAAATTTTATCTCAGCCTGTAAACCAAGCATTCACAGTTACTTGATGTGAGATAAATAAAAGACCAAAATTAAGAATGACCAGCTGATATTCATAACAGGTGCTCACAGCAGCACTTTTTTTGCTGTGCACTTGAATTTCTGTCTTATGTGATGTTATGGTCTGTGAATAAACAATGACACTACTACAACCAAGAAAAATTTTACTAACATTTATTTGTAAAATAACTGCTACAAAATAGAATTCTAATCCCCTTCTTAGTAGTGCATAATTTAGCTGGAAGAAGACAGCATCATCCAACGTCTTGACGACTTTGCAACAGGGTGAGTCCGCAATGTACTGGACCTGTATGAGATGAGGAAAACAGACAAAAAAACAACAGGTAAATCAAAGAGTATAAAAAAATGGCACCTGAAACTTTCAACTTGCCCACCACAACAGTGAAAAGACTCCTGTTGTCATATGTATTTTCTGCCTGTTGGTCCGCGAGCACAAGTGCCAGTCTTGTTTATTGAAGCTGCTTAGCATCACTTCATTGCAAGACTTTTCTCTATCCGCCACCCGAGAACGCGCTCTGTAGCGGTCAGGCTCCGCCTTGAGACTTGTGGCAGTGTGACGTTAATGTGGGCAATATATACAGATATTTTCGTTGCTTAATTTGTAACAAACTCATTGTGAGCAAATTTCATAATCGAATTCATAAAATATTTGAATGTAATATAACACCAAAATGCTGAGGCTTTAGAACATTACAAACTCAACCTGCCCACATTAAAATCCCAGTGTCACAGGCATGCAAGAACTGCTTGCATAATCATGAATCAACTAAACAATTTTAATATATTGACAGGTTTTTAAAAATGACTATTTTTGAAAATTTAATATTTATATTTTTCTTCTAAAGGGCAAGTTACTGTTGCTGAAAAGAAAAAAAAGCAAATCATATACATTATCTGATACTTTTTTTTGCAGTTTACAGCTGCACATTGTAAAAGGCTGCATGCATGAGTGTTTGTTGCGGCTTATTCATGGTATTATTTCCGAAATCCTTATTGAGTTGACATTTAGCAATCGGCCTATGAATTTTCTTGTTTTTTTATTTTTCATTCTTGGAATTAGATATGAATATATCTAATTCCAAGATATCTAATTCAGGAAAATTTCCTCAACAAAAGAAAGTTTTTCTACTTTTGGCAAAAAAAAAAACAGAACAAAGCAAGAACTAGTCCTAGAACTTTTATGGAAGAGACAGGTTTGACGTGATGAGAAGTCAATAAATAAGGAATGCCACAAAAAGGATTGCCTCAACAAAGGAATTCGGTTCATCGGGGTAACATACATTTGGCAATGTTTTTATGTACTCCTAGTTAACGCTCCACCACTTACAACAAGGGAAAAAAATAAGGTGGTGCATGCAGAAAGCTAACTTATCACATAACGTGAAAGTTTGACCCAGGAGAAGAGTAGGAACAAAGACGAGTGCTCACTTCCAACAAGATTTATCTTGAAGAGTAAACACATATATACTCTTGAAATGCAAAAAACAGACAAATCATTCAAAAAGCCCACAACTGCCATGCACGAAAACCTTACATCCTCAGGAAAGACAATTCGTTTTGACAAATCCTTAGAGAGAGAGTGAGAGAAAGTGCTGACGCAGTTCAACTCTAGTCTACAAATCCTTTTCGCCACGACGATTTCTATTGTAGTTTTTTTTTTCCAATGATAATGGTGTCACACAAAAGTGGTTTGGAGCTACACCTGCGTCAGTGCAAGGCCAAGAAACGATTGCGACCATTCTTGAGGTTACCAGCGTGTTCATTGCAGCACGTGTGGCTGCAAACTGCTTTTGCACGACACCACTATCGCTGGAAGAAAAAAACAACAAATAAAATGACAAGAGAAATTATCGAGCCAAAGAGGATTTGTAGACTAGAGCTGAACTGCGTCAGCACTCCATTTCGTGCTTTGTCAAAACGAATTGTCTTTCTTGAGAATGTAAGATATTTGTGTATGGCAGTTGTGGGCTTCTTGAATGATTTGCCCGATTTTCACATTTCAGGAGTATATATGTGTTCGCTCTTCAAGATGAATCTTCTTGGAAGTGAGCACTCGTATTTGTTCCTTCTCTTGTCCTGGGTCAAATTTTTGTGCTGTGTGATCAGTTATGCATTACCAACATGCTTAACTTCATACTTTCGATCCCTGAAGTCGGTCCTTAAAGGGCCACTCACCAGGTCCCATAACAAATTTTAGTTAGACTGTGGAAGTTGTGTGTCCGACGGAGAGCATTATACCTCAAAAAGTTTTTCAATCGGTTCATTACGAGCTGAGAAAACAGTTTCTTTTTTTTTTTTTAACAGCAGGAAACAAGGATGAATGGAGGCAAGTTCAAAACCCTTGCCACTCCCTCGTGTAGCCTTCACAAGCCAAATATCTTTCCTACCCTCTCCAGCATCCAACCAAGAGGTCACGTGCACATGACGTGCTCGAACAAGCCCAACCCTCGAGCGCGCGAGCGGTGTTGTTTTGTTAACCAGCGTTATTTTGTGTCTACTGCCTGTTTCTGCGAGGTCGTTTGGAAACGCTGGCTTTGATGCGGTTGAAAAGATGAGCATAATGAGTGCTCAAATGCGCAGGACCATTAATTCTATTCCAGGACAGGTGTCTGCTTGATGCAGTAACCGCGGAGACACGAACGCATGTGAAACGCCTGCACATTAGCTCCGCATCTCGTTGCAATTCACGGTGAAAAAAAATGAAAAAGACGAACACTTCTCCTATTGCGTCTCAATATGTATACCAAGTTTTATTAATCTCTTCAAGCAACAAAGTACATTAACTCTGCATGTCGCGTTACAGAATTTTTGCCATGTCACGTGCCACTGTTGGCAGCGTCAGAGCACAGTCGTCTACAAAGAGGACCAATGTCACTGTACTTCTGTGTATGTAGGGCAATTCATACGTGCACATCATACCCTACTTTTCAGGGCGCGCGCCTGCAAAAGAAAGGGGAACAAGCGTTCGTCTTGAAATTTGACCCATTTCCGCGGCGCATAGAGTTGCAATGTTTGGCAGACATGACCATAAACTCCCGATGTATGCGTTGCGCTTGTCAGCTCAAAATCGTCAAACCCTGTGAGTTTTAAAGAAAAGCAAAAATTAGAGGAGGAGGAGACATGAAGAATGGTTAAAAATTTTGCCATATGTCTACACGAAATTGGAATGCTATTATTAATTAGGAGAACGTATCTTTTCCTTGCCAACCAGCAAACATGATTTAGAACGCACGAATACTTTTTTGTCCAAGTTAGCTGCTAAAAAGCCGAGACAAGCTCCGTGAAATCCTCTTGAACAACCTGCACAAGTAATGTCCAATACTACCCCACAATATAGTGGTTGCCAGCAGACACAATGTAACTTGTAAATACTATCTATTGGCTGTACGCCAGCAGCCATGAAGTTTATGAGGGGAAAGTCTTCGATCATACCATTCTGTATGCATTGCAGCAAATGTTTGCGTAGCATAACTTGGTTAAGGTTCAAAGTTTCTGGTTTTCTGCTTGACGCTATATAATACATGTTAGCAATTGCAAACAAGCCACAGTCAAGTGTGTTGCACTAGTTTTGTGCCTTCATTGCTTTAATGGTTAATGTTGGCGATTGTAATTTTAGAATATGACAGATTTGCCTGACAGCGTAAGGAGGGGTATCTTGATCAATTGAATCATATATGAAGGCTGTGTTTTTGTCGGCACCAACATTTGTTACTGTAAGCCAATGATTGGGGTTCTGAACATGCAGAATTTGAACGAAAGGGCCTTTGATTTGAGTGAATTGCAAACATTGGTCCAGTAAGACATCTTGAAAGCCGACACAAGTAGAATATTTTTTCTGAATTAAATACTGTGCGACATTAATTACACTATCTGATATGGAGGTACCCTGTACCAGAACATTTAAATCTGCATGTGAAAGAGAATACCGTTTGTAGACATTTAGCATGTCTACCTTACTCGTCGCAAGGCCTACCTTTTTTACTTGATTTGGAAAAAATTTCCGCTTCACAGCTCTCACTTTTTTTGGCCGCCCCATTCTTGCTTTAACCAAAGGTATCACAAGTTTTGTACTGTTAAAATGCCCAAGGTAACTTGTGGCAGTAGTTTGTGCTAACTGAGCTGGTGCAGCCTTTATGGCTGCTGAAGTTTGGTTACGAGGAAATGTGATTAAATTTCTGAAGAAAGCCTCGCAGGACGAAAGTTTTTCTATTAACTCCTTCTCACCACAATTAGATAATACGTTAGCCATGGTTTTCGACATTTTGCAAAGACTCCTATAAGCATAAGTATACTTCTCTTGTGCAATGTCAAGCTTCACACAGGGTGGTGACTGAATTCTGCTTGTTACCACTGGTGTGGCACTAGTGGTTGTGCAGCTGTCACTCAGGAAATGATCCTTGCACCACCTGTCCGGTATGCAAGCCTTGTCGAAAAGATCTTGCTTGGTAAAGTCACGCACTGCTAAAATATGTGCGCAAGGCAGAGTGTACTGGTTATAAAAAGCACATGTGCAAGAAGTCAAGCACAATGAAACACTGTACTGTGATCTTGGGGAAACTACAACATAAGAATTACGAGTGGAAGTGACTAGATAACTTTCATTTTTATACTTCTCATACTGCTCTCGTACTTTACTTGTAGCCTCAGAAGTGCAATTATGGGACAATTCTAGCTGAAATGAGTCATTGAAATCATTTATGTTTAGGTTCAGCTTCATTTCTTTAAGCTTAGAGAACTGTAGAGATAAAGAATCATTATCAATGTAACCTACCAATACTTCTATTGCTTGAACCAAATGCATGCTTGAAGAGAAATAATTTTTAATCTTTTGATTGGTGCACTCAATGCGATTATTAGTATTTTTACCAAATGTAGGAAGGGCTTGCCGATATGCATGTACCCACATTTCCTTACACAAGTGCCAGTTATGCATATTGTAAGAAATGAAATCTGTGCAAGTCATAGCTTGGAGGTCAGCAAGCTTATCGAAGTAGTCTTGCGCAGTGGGGGAATAAACTAAGCTTTTTAAGAGAGGAAGCAACTGATCACGTTGCTGTTTAGCCTTTTCATTAACCTTTTGCTGGAAACAATGCAACACATGCTACGTACACAAAAGTATGTTAGAATTAGGAAGAATACTGGTTAAAACATGCAGTTCATTGAGATCTTTATCAATCATCACTACTTTGCACGCAGACACAACAAATGGGTTGAAATCTACAAACTTTGTGAACAAGGGCTCAACAATTTCAGTCATCTCGTTTCGTAAGAAGGCATAACACACAGGTCTCCCATGACGACGACCATCTTGAACTAATATAGAGTAAAGAATATCACCTTCAATATTCACTTTATACGACCCATCAATAAATAGAATCTCTGGATACTTTTTCAAAATCTCATGCATGTGTGTTGTTTGAAGAAGTATGAATTGCAGGTTATTATTTTGATTCATTTCATAGTGAATAACCCAGTTTGGATTATTTTTTAGCAAGGTCCCTATCTTCTCTAAACCATTTCACCATGAGCCTGCTCATTGCGGATAGGAATAGAAAATCGTTGCTTGTAATTATTAATGTCCTTTGTAGTTAACTTCTTACCAGTTTTCTGCTCGACCAAGTTTTTAAAATCCTTTGCGCCAATATTACATTAAGCTAAGTCAAAGAATTCTTTTTCTCCATAATTCAGGAGCCTCTTCTGAGAATACAAATCATAATATTCTGTGGGATGGTTATGCTTAGCTTGTAGTTTAGTTATCTTGTAGTGTAGAGTAGGCGATTTACATAGGCTTACCAATACTGTCATTTCACAGCCAGTACCATTGTAAGCTTGCTTTGGTCGCTTTCCTACTCCCCTGTGCTTTATTGTGCGACCGTGAATGCAGCTATATTTAATCCTAATATACTCGAAATCCTTATCTTCTGATGTGAATGGACTTTTATTACTCTTATTTATCATGACTACATGCCTGCCGTCCCTGCACCACTCATCAAAGCTTTTCTTAAAAGAAGGAAAGTTATCAAATGTTGCATTTAAATAAACTTTGTTACCCCCCCCCCCCCCCTCATGTAGTGTATTTACTGGGTTATTGAGGACAGTTGGTTTGGCACCAGTGCTTACACAAATAGCCTGGGCACCAGGGCTGGCAGGCCTGCTTCTGGATGTCAAAGCAGCCTCACAATACTTGTACTGCACTGCTGCAGTGCACCCAGCTTCCATAGGGTCACCAGCCTCTGTGCCAGGATCGCACTCAATTCACATCCAATCCCGAGTGAGTGCTGGTAGATGGCTTTTGCCGACAGAAACCTCGCACACAGCGTCATTCCTGAGAGATTCACAGTGAGTCGCGGAACTAACTGAGCAGTCTTTCAACTGCTTGCTAGGAACACACTGCACCTTTTTAAAACTATCACGAATGACGTTGTGCGAGACACTGGCTCATCCTTCAGGCTTTCTACCGCAGACAGCGGAAGAAGCAGACTGAATCTGTTTCTGGCTCACAACTGCTGACATAGGTGAAGTGGACCTGATAGACTTGGCAGCTGTCACAGCAAGAACTTTGCCTTCACTGTCTGCACACAGTTTAGAGCTCTGTTCTTGCTTGTGCAGTGCCGCAGGCCTCCGCGGGGTCTTCTTTGACTGCACCAGTTTCCGCTCACTGTCGCCACACTGGCCGACAGCCTGTGGCACAGCTGCTTTTCCAGCACTAGCCTCCTCTTCCCCCACAGAAGAGTGCACAACAAGAGCACTCTCATGCTCCTGTGAGGCTCTCCTTATTTTCCTGTCACAAGTGGTGCTTGCACCTCGACTAGGGATCATTGGCTGCACAGGCCTCTTCTCAGTGTTTCCCTTACATGGAACACTTGTGCCATGGAAAATGGGGGAAGGCAGGCTGTCCCAGGTCCCCCAAGCCTTGCTTCCCTTGCAGTGAATGCGGACACCGCCAACGAGCATAAAGCCAATACCATGAATGGTACTGGCCAGTTTGTCAGTGTCGTGTCTCTGCATGAGAGCACTGTTGGTTTTCCAGACAGGAGCTGGTGCAGCGGAAGGTCCACCTACTGCTGGATTATGTTGAACTGCATGCATATCAAGTGCAGGAAAATCGGCTTCCAAGTTGATGGCAAAGTGCTCCTGCCGAGCCCACCCACTCCATGCAGATGCCTTGGACTCCTTGTAGGACTGCTGGATGCGTCTCCTCTCTAGATGAGTGGACGAGGCACAGGCCTCCCGGTACAGGAAGTCTGCCAGCACCTTGTTGCCAAGCCGGCTGGGGTGGACACCATCCCTACTCAGGAATCCAGGCCAGCTGTCCACAAGACTATCCATGAAAGTGAAGCCCCTCTCCAGGCAAAGCTGTGCGGGTGCGGCATTCACATTCCTGTAGTGGCCATTCAAATGACAAACATCAGACAACTGTTCTTCCCCTTGGCGGTACCGATTCTGCCCCCGAGGAAGAATGGCAGAAAAAGCTACATGCAACGTGGGATTGCTTTCGATGATTCCCTGAGCGAGCTGGCGATATTTGTCCATGAACATGTTGACACTGTCAACAGTGTTGTTCGTGCCAACGTGTACAATGACAACATCAAAACTGGCCAGCTTGTCAGCAATCATTGAGAGCAAGTGCTCAATTCTTATTCCTCTGTGTGCGGCAACGCTAACAGACAAGCCACGGCGCGATGGGAAATACTGGTCCACGTATTTCACCATCGAACCGCCAGCGACTAACACATGCGTCATGTTGCCCACACTTTCAATTCAGAATTAGACCATGAAAAAAAAAAGAAACAAGAAAGTGAATATTTAATCTAAAACACGGCTGTCAATTACGCAAATGCACTACGCCACAGATACGAAGCACGTTAACACGGATGACCAAAGAAAGGACCACGTACAAATACTGCTAAATCAGCCTATACGCGAAAAATCACAAAAATACATATTGGGATGGATATAAACAACGTTAGTAAATATAAAATAGCAGTGAAAATGAGCAGTTGAGCTTAGATGAAGATGATGTTCGAGGCTTGCGAATATGTAGCAGAACAAGGCCTGTCGACAGCTCGCAGAAGCAGCAACCAGCCGTACTCCAGCAGCAGCAGCAGCAGCAGCAAGTGAGCGTCTGCTGAGCAGCTGAGTCACGTTCCGATTCAGTAAATTCAAACAACGCGCTAAATCAGAAACGACGTATTTTGTGACAATTTTTCTGACGTCAATTCTGTGCGGCGCAGGAGTCATTTCTGTGTAGGTATGGCTACAGTGCTGCGACACGCGGCGCAGCAAACACTGCTGCGGAACAAAATATGAGGAACCACGGAGGAAGGAAGGAGGAAGGAAAGAATTCCTTCCTCCTTCCTTCCTCCGAGTGCGGAACAAATGGGAAGCAGTAATTTACGCGTTAGACAAGTAATGATAATGTCATGTTTTCTAGTTCAATATTTACAACTAAAGGAACGGTCAGCAATCGCTTGGTTATTTATAACAACCGAAATATACAGGCTTTTGTGTTTGATACTATATTTCTTGCTGGGCACTCGGTGCAGCGCACGACCTACTGTATTTTACTGACCTGCCCTGCGAGCGAAGCGCTAGCACGCCTCTTCTGGTATTGGCGCCTGCCGCTATGCGCCATGTGGAACTGCAACTTACCTCATCCGCATCGGTTCCTGACGGCCAAAACATGGGTACAGTGTACTAGAAGAGGGCAGTGGGCTTACTCCCCGGCGGAGGGTATGCGGTGGGGTGGCTCCACAAACGTCGCCAGTGTGTGTTTCTCTCTTCGCCCGGGCGGCGGCGCTGGCATCGCCATCAATACGTTTTTGTACGTTTTTTTTTTAGTATTCTTTACTGTGTCTTTTTTTTTTCTCCAGCCACCACGTGGCTGAGGCCTGAGCGTAGACCGACCACGTGCATGCGCAGGTGCTGTGAAGTGTAGCGTATTTATTTATTATTGTGGTTCTTTTTGGCTTAGACCAGTGTATTTTAGTACAGTTTTCTAACACGTGGGCATCGGTAAACTGAGCTAGCCATGGTCAAAAAGACCGTAAAGTGTTCAGAGTGCGGGATAGGGTGGAAGGTGGAAATTAGTGCGGAAGAGAAAGCAGAAGATGACGCCAAGTGTAGACAGTGCGAGTTCGAGGAGAAAATGAAAAATATGATGGCGGTCCAGAGTGGGCTCATGGAGAAAATCGCAGAGCTGGAGAATGCATTGGCGAAGGAGCGAGAGAAAACGTCAGCCATGGAGGAAAGGCTCCGGGCAGCCGAGAAGGGCCTATCGAAGGTCGTGAAGGGGAACGAAGACGCAGGTGACGGCGGAAGCATTATGGCGACGACCCCCCGTGCGGGAGAGATGAGGGAAACAGGCATGACAAAGGCAGATACATTGGCCACAGGGCCCAGCTACCGGGAAGTAGTTTTGAGGGAGGGAGGGAGCAAACCAGCAGCCGTGACTCACGCTAGTCACCTAGTCAGCAGCCAGGTGCAGGTTTCAGAAGGAATGTCTGAACAGGTCATCATCGCCGGTGACTCAAATTTAGTCCGATGCGCAGCGGCAATCAAAGAAAGGGTGAAAGGCGACAAGAGAGTTGCGATAGGGACGTTCCCAGGACAAACGCTGGGGACAGTAATGAGTCAAGCGGGTGAACAACTCGCAGCTAAAGCTAACAATCGTAACCTCGTTGTAATTGCGGGAGGGTTAAATGACGTCCTGAAAAAAGAATCGTCAGGACTAGCGACGACCTTGGCGAAAGGGGTGGATGACATGCGCACCGTGTCCCCCCAGGTGCAAATTGTAGTATGCACAGTACCGGAAGTACCAGTACGCAACGTCAACCTGCAAAGAGCGGTAGTCGACGCAAACAAAGAGATATGGCGAATTAGTCGAGAGAAGGGTTTCGAGGTAGTGGATTTAAACAGGGAAGTGCACAGGTGGGGTGGATTCCAAAGAGACAAGATTCATTTCGATAAGAGGCTTGGACACGAGGTGGGCTGGCGACTCGCAGGACGTGCAGTAGCTTTTTTGGGGGGCTCACGGGCCCTTCGGAGTCCGGGGTAGCTCGTAACAGGGAAAACAACCAGGAGGACGCTTTGACAGGTAGAATTGCGAAAAACCAGAAAAAAGGTAAAAGAAAAAGGAAAAAGGCGCGTGTTGCAATTAGTTACATAAACATGCAGGGTGGCAGAAAGAAGGCAAAATGGTTAGAGATTGAGGAGCAGTTAAACAAAGAACAGATAGGCGTGTATGCGGTTACAGAAACACACCTTAGAGACTTGGAAGAGCCACCACATATTAAAAATTATGTTTGGGAAGGGTGTAACAGGACCACATCGGAAAGGAAAGGTGGGGGTGTAGGAATGCTAATTCACCGCGGAGCCAAATGGGTTAGAGTGAAACAGACGTGTTCAGAGCACCTCTGGGTTCTGGGCACAGTAGGTGGAAAGGAAACGTGGCTAGGGGTAGCCTACTTGTGGACGGGGAATAACTGCAGAGAAAAGAATCAGGAGATAGTGGATTGCATGAGTGCGGATATTAAGGAATTTGGTAATGGGGCCGAAATCATCCTTCTAGGGGACATGAATGCCCACATACATGACCTTGACGGATATTCAGACACCAATGGGAAGTTATTACTAGATCTTTGCGAGCAACATAGTCTGGAGATAGTTAACACGGGGCCTAAATGTGACGGCCAGATCACATGGGAAGTCGGAAACAAGCAATCAAGTATTGATTATTGTCTCATGACTGAAGGAATTTACCACAAACTGACAGAAATGAGGATAGACGAGGAAGGCATTAACAGCTTGGGTAGTGATCATAAACGAATAACATTACAAATGGGATACGAAACTAAAAATATGAGCATGGAATCAAAGTCTGGCAGCTCGTATTTAAATGACAAACAAATAATAAATATAGCCGCAAGAGTCGAGGAAGAAGTAGGCGAAATACCAGGCAAGGACTGGGAGTATAGTGAGCTGTTACATCTAATGACGAAGGAGATAGGGAAAGAGAAGAAAACTGTTTGCTGGAAAGGAAAAAGGAAGCCAAAAAGTTGGTGGAACAAGGAAATCCGGGAGGCGATCGAGAAGCGACGCGAAGCATCACGGGAGCATAGAAAGGCAAAAAAGGAGAAGCGGCCGCAGGACGAAGTCAAAAAAATATGGGAAATATATTTGGAGAAAAAATCCCTTGTACAGAAATTGGTAGAGGCAAAAATTAAAGGTGAAAGTGAACGCTGGATGACAGAGATACACGAAAAAAAGGAGGCCGCGCCTAGGATTTTTTGGAGCCACATAAAGGCGCTAGGTAGGAAGTCTGTCACAACGCAACAGCATATTCTAGATGAAGGAGGAAATCAATTGGAAGGGTACGAAGCGCTAGGTTACATACAAGCGGTAACAGCCGATTCGTTTCAAAAGAGCGTCCAGGGGATCTCCCCGGTGAGTAAAAGTGTGGCGGAGAAAGCAACAGAGGAAGAGCTAGTACTAGATAATTTCAACTGGAAAAAGGCCGAAGGAAAAATTCCAAAGCGCACTGCCGCGGGTTTAGATGGGATTCCCGCTAGCCTCATTAACGAACTAGGACATAACACTAAAGAAGCATTGTTAAAAGCGGTAGAAAAAAGCTTAAAGGACGGACAAATACCGGACAGTTGGCGACAAAGTAGAATGAACTTAATCTATAAAGGCAAGGGAGAAAAGGACAAGATTCGCTCGTATAGACCACTAACCATTACATCGGTACTATACAGGTTGGCGATGCAAGCAGTAAAAATGAAAATAGAAACATGGGCCGAACATAACGATATTTTGGGAGAACTTCAGAACGGATTTCGAGTCGACAGGCGGTTAGACGATAACCTGTTTGTTCTCACTCAGTGTATAGAAATATCTAAAATAGAGAATAGGCCCTTGTACGTGGCTTTTCTAAACATCACTGGGGCATACGACAACGTTAATCAGGAAATTTTGTGGGATATATTGAAAGGAATGGGCATGGGCGACGACTGTATACAGCTTTTGAGGGAGATCTACCGAGAAAATACAGTTTGCATAGAGTGGGAAGGAATGCGTAGCAAAGAGAACGTTGAGGTTAGCAGGGGTCTGAGACAGGGATGTCCTTTGTCCCCACTGTTATTCATGCTGTACATGGTGAGTATGGAAAAAGCGCTAGAAGGTAGCAACATTGGCTTTGATCTGTCACACAAACAGGGCGGCATGATGATTGAGCAGAAGCTTCCAGGTTTATTTTATGCGGACGATATAGTCTTATTTGCGGACAGTCGAGATGATATACAGCAGCTGGCGAATATATGCGGAAGGGAAGGTGAAGCTCTTGGACTAGGATTCAGTGTAACGAAGTGTGGTTTGATGGTATTCAATGATCCCTGTGATCAGACGGTGTCCATACAAGGCCAAGAAATACCGAGGGTAAGTGAATACAAGTACCTTGGAGTATGGGTAAATGAGAGTGATAGATACATGGAGGTACAGGAAAAAGCCTCGGCAGCAAAGGAAAGAGGAATGCGGCAATAATGAAGCACAGAGCGTTGTGGGGATACAATAGGTATGAGGTGCTTCGAGGTCTGTGGAAGGGTGTAATGGTTCCAGGGCTTACTTTTGGGAACTCAGTGGTGTGCATGAGGGCAGAGGTGCAATCGGGAATGGATGTAAATCAAAGGACTGTGGGACGCCTCGCGTTGGGTGCTCACGGGAAGACGACAAACGAGGCTGTAAAGGGCGATATGGGGTGGGCAGGTTTTGAGGCGAGGGAAGCGCAGAGCAAAATAAGGTTCGAAGAAAGGCTAAGAAATATGAAGGAGAGTAGATGGGCAGAGAAGGTGTTCCGTTATTTGTATAGGAAGAGCGTGGACACACAGTGGAGAAAAAGAACTAGAAGACTCACTAGTAAATATACGGCTGGTATTGTGAGCCATATGTCAACAAAGAGCGTTAAGGGAAAAGTCAGGGAGGCGGAGAGGATTTACTGGATGGCAGCTATGGAGAAAAAACCGGCTTTGAGTAACTACCGAAAGGGCAAAAATGAAATAAGGAGGGAGGCATTTTACGATAATTC